TGTGTGTGTGTGTGTGTGTGTGTTGTGGTGTGTGTGTGTGTGTGTGTGTGTGTGTGTGTATATATATATATAATATGAATAATATATTCATACATACATACATACATACATACATACATACATACATACATACATACATACACACACGTTTTGTATGTATGTGTGCGCATGTGTATCTCTCTCTCTCTTCTCTCTTCTCTCTCTCTATATATATATATATATTATATATATATATATATATATTATATATGTATATATATATATATATATATATAATATATATATATATATATATATATATATATATATATATATATATATATATATATATATATATATAATCCTTTGAAAATACGCTATTGGACATTGGCGTTCCACATCCTTTTCCATCTCGTTCTGTCTCCAGGCTTCCGATAACGGTGCCTTTGCTTCATGTCGAGGTCATCTTTCCAGCGGGTATTCCGCCGGCCTCGATCTCTGGTGTTCCCACATCGTTCTGTCCGCTGCCCTCCGGTGCCAGTTTTTTTTTTTTTTTTTTTTTTTAAGTCGGCGCCTTATGCTTACCAGCTGCATGGAAAATAGCTTCCCCCTATTTTTCATCTCGCTTTTAAAATCCGGTGCTAGACAGGCCTTCCCCAAACTTCCTTTGATCTGTCCGCTGCTTTCCGATGCCAGTGCTTTTGACATATGTCAGCACCTAAAGCTTGTGGACTCCAGGGCCCGGATTCACTAACGCACTTACGATGGTAAAATCACTGATAACTATAGTTACCATGGTAAACAGACAGTGATGGTATTCACTAACAACTTGCCATTGGAGTTACCATGGTAAATTTTACCAGTGGTCAGAGCACTGGTAACTTTTGGGAAGACGATGTCATCACGTATTATCTCTCGTCAAAAAATCAGTATCTAACCAAATTTTTGGTTTTGTTTTTACACGTGATTTAACTAATATGGTGGCAAACAGATATCACAATGCGGACATAGTGCAGAAATGCAAATTTCACATGAAACTAGCAAGAATAAAATCCACACAAATTCTCGTAAAATTATAGGCCTACTTACATTATACTAGAATGCATGGAACGATAAATAAGTGAAACAAAATTGTTTGGTCCGGTTCTTTGTTTAACAATAATGAAAAATATAAAACAAAAAGCTGTTTGGACTGTCTCTGGTTTGAGTTAACAATAATATATTAATATAACAGTGTTTGTATTGGTTCCTATCTATACAGTATATATATCCAACATGATGGATATAATCAAATAAATAAATAAATATATATATATATATATGTATATATATATATATATATATATATATATATATATATTATATATATATATATATATATTTTTACATGCGCTTAAATATTGTTTTAGCTGTGACGATTATTTAAACAATCTCGTTGTCTAGTTGTTTACATGTTACGTGATTGGCCGAAGGAACCTAAAAGATTGTGTATAGTGCTCGCTGATTGGTTGCATTGCTTTACCAGAGCCCTCTATTGGCTACAATTAAAATGAGTCGATTTACGATTGTAAATGTTGATGTGGAGCCTTCATTACGCTGGCTATAGCGTAGAGCAAGTACCCGAGTTAGTAGGCATCAATGGTAAACAATGGTAAATGACCGTTGGTATATGCTTTATGATCGTATGCTAGTGACTCCGGCCCCTGGCAGGGCGCACTCCGGTGTTTGGAGACCACCTCTGTGGCCAGCCACGGACAGAGTCTGAGGCCCTTCGAAAGAGATCATCAGGCCTAAGGCCTAGGGGCACCACCGGCCTCCTGGAGATATCGAAGATAGTCGAACTCTTAACGAAGAGTTAACGGCTGATGTCTCCTCCGGGCACCTTCATCACGGCATCGACCCCGTGCCAGCGGACGAGGGAGGCGGGCTGAAGAGGCCCTGCCCGAGCTTTTTTCCCCGCTTCTTGATGGCGTCCACCTGGTCTGCACCCAGCTTGGAGAATCCCACACGCTTGAGGAAAGAGTGGTACCGTTCGCACTCAGCCGCCTGCTTACGAGCCTCCTGTACTCTCAGGGCGGAAGGCTTTGGTGGCGTCTTGTTCCACATGCCCGCGGGCTAGTTCCACGGGCGACGGTACGGGTTTCGTGGCATTTACGTGCCGCCTCTCTCTCTTTCTGCGTAAATTTTTCTTGTCGATTGAATCATCTTGACAGTTGCTTTGGACGTCCTCCCAATGCCCCTTCGGATCCCTGTAAGGAGACTTGTCTTTCAGTGTGTCTTTGTATGTTTATCTGTCTGCCACCATATGCGTCTGTACCTGTCTGTCTGTTTATCTGTCAGTCTGTGTGTATATGTGCCTGTCTATCTGTCTGTCTGTTTCCCTCTGTTCGCGTGTATGTGTGTGCGTCTGTTTGTCTGTCAGCCTGTGTGTATGTGTCTGTCTGTTTGCCTCTGTTCGCGCGCGCGCGCGTGTGTGCGTCTGCGTCTACGTGTGAGAGAGAGTGTGAGTGTCTTTCTTTCGGTTTGTCTTGTGTGTCTGCCGCTGTGTGTCTGTCTGTCTGTCTGTCTTTTTATCTCTTTGTCTGCCTTTGTGTGTGCTTCTGTATGTCTGTCCATCCGCCCCTGTATGTGAATGTGTCTGGAAGGGGAAAGGGGAGGAGGAGACACTGAGTGAGGTAGAAGGGAAGTGACAGAAAGGACGGCATTGAATAGAAGGAAGGGGAGATAATGAGAGAGAAGAGACGGCAGGTGAGAGGGGAGCAAGGAGGCGAAGAAGCGAATGGGGGGGATGATAATAATGATAAGGATTAATGATGAGTAATAATGACTATAATAGTAATTATGATAATGATGATAACCACGCTGATAATAATAATAACATTGATAATAATAATATCGATGATAATGATAACGACAGTCATAGTAGTAGTAGTAATAATAATAATAATAATTAATGGCAGTTATAATCAAAATCATGATGACTAGTAATGATAATAACAATGATAATATTTATCATTATAACAATAATGATGGTAATGATAACAGATATAACAGTAAATATAATTACCACTATAACAGTAATAATGTGCGGGAAATTCGCGCAAAGACAACGCCAGTTTCCCTGTCCAATTGCGGCTGAAGGACTCCCTAAGCTTCAGTGTCCAAGTGCCTGTGCTGAAGGGCGGTGCCACTCGAGCTGTTCTGAGAATCGGAATTTGTTTTCGGAATTCGGCTGTGCTTTCATTTTCTTGTGATATCGTGTTATATTTTACATTTTAGAGACTAGAGGGTAATTTTCGATGTTTTGGTTGATTTTGAAGGGTTGTTGGTAGGTATATGATCATACTGTTTTTTTTCTTTTCTTTGCGCTGATTTGGCAACTGTGTTACGCAATAGTAAGGAAAGGATGAAGGCAAAGTTATGTTTTGTAATACCCTTGTCAATAACAAGGGTATTATTTTTTGTTAGTAACATGTATCACTGTTCATACAACCATCATTATCAACGTCATTAAACATCGTTCTTAACCCCAATGTCATTCCCACCATCGCTTCCGTCACATTTATTTCGCTCGCGGTCAGTTCCGTGTCGGGCTTTCCGTTTTCGTTCGGGATAACCGCTTGACTGACGTTGAGATCTCCGGCGCGTCGCTTTATGCCCAGATCTCGGTGCGTTTTTTGTATGTCGTTGTCCAGTACCATTTTTTCCCCCGTTTCTTTTACCTTCGTCTGTGTTAGCTTGAGTTATTTTGTGGGGGGTATTTTTTTTTTTTTTTTTTTTTTTTTTGCGATTGTAATTTTTTTTTCTTTTATGGCGAAGTATGGTTATAAAGTGTTTTTATTTCTAGGGTTAAGATGTGTCATTCTTAGTATTGTTATCATTATTAATGATGCTCTTCTTACCATGATGTTAACAGGCCTTGTGTGTCTGCTGATGTTACTATTATTAACACTCTTGTCATTCTGCCATAACTGCGAGTGCTAATATTACTGTAATTATTCTTGCAAACATAATAGACGATGATACAATTAGATTAGATAAAAACAAGAGCAACAATTATTATTGCCATAAGGCCAAATGTTACTCTTTCTACATTTGCTTTAATTTTATCAAAGATCCATATTTCTGTTTTTTATCACTTGTATTTTTTACTGTCACTCATACTTCTACAACAATAGTTGTAATTACTTTTTTGTATAGCATAGTGTAGTATTGCTAATGTTATTACAACTACCCATGCTACTTCTGCAGTTGCTACAAACTAATTGTACTCCTAAAATTGTAGGTGCTACTAGACCTCTTGTAACATTGGCTTTTAAAATTACTCTCAACGTGTTTTACCACTACTGCTACTACTATTACTTCTGCGACTTTGATTAGGCCTACTACAACTGTTACTAACAACAGATTACTTTTGTTGTTTATATAGCAATTACTCTGTTTACCTTTGTGTCCTGATTACTATTTAATGCAACTGCAATAACAGGTCTCTTATTATCACCACCATTACTGGACTGCATATTAATTATGGTAATTATGTAAGTATTTGTAGTAGCTACTACTAATGCAGATACTACTAGTAGTGCGTAGCACTACTACTGTGACAGTTTTGATTCCTCAGGCCTACTGCTATTGCTACAACCGTTCTTTAAGTGACTGATAACTAATACTTCTGGTACTATTAATAACCCTACTACTACCTATGTTAATTTCTTTACACATCTCCCTCAGTGCTAATGGTTATTATCAATACTGTAGAATACTGTTTTTTTTTTCCCCTTAACAGTGTTAATCTTTTCGGTGTTATACATTTAGTTTACCATCATCATCAAAAAGCAGCAACACAGAAATGATGGCAGTCTGTGTTATCAAAATTACCATGAAGGTTAATTATTATGATTCTTATCATCCTTGCCATCAGTATCACAGTGCAAATACAATCCATCAGCATGGATATAATTATAATTTCCCGAACAGCCAAAACTCAAAAGTAACGTTTTCCGTTTGTCTCCCCCTTTTAGGCATGCCTGTGATAATGGGTGTGGACCATGGATAATGAACAGCCGCATCAGGAACTGGTGAAATGTGTGGTTGTGGGAGACACAGCGGTGGGCAAGACCCGCCTTATCTGCGCTCGGGCCTACAACAAGCAGTTCTCTCTCTCACAGCTGCTCAACACACATGTGCCCACTGTCTTTGCCATCGACCAGTACAGGATATACAAGGAGGTAATAATTGTTTTCTGTCCAGCAGTGCATGTACGTTAAATCTTCCCTGTGTCATGTGTAGACATTAGCTAATCACCTAAGGGTAGGGTTTATGACTTTTTCCAGGTATTTGAGGGGAGATGAATAAAATAATGATCATAGTTGCCTGCATTTACTTACTGAAAAAATGGCAATTTTGATATATCATGATTAATAATTAACAGTGTTTATGTAGCACATTCGTATTCTTTTGGGGGCGTAACATATGCAATGTACACTAATGACCATCGTACATTATCAGTTTTATCAGAGGCATGTCTGAAACATTACTTTTTAATGATAGATGTATTGCCTTTGTAGCTTAAGCACGGAAAAAGAAATGAGAACTTGCGTATTTCAAAGGATGCTTAGCAATTAAATGATATGAAAAGTTTTTCTTTCTTTCTCTCTTTTCTCTTTCATTAAGAAAGAAAATATGATTGGGGATTCTTGTCTCAAAATGTTGAGTATGGAAAAAAAAATTCTTGTTTTCTTTCCACATGTCTCTCTCAATCTGTCTCTGTCTATATACCCATCTTACTCTCTGTCATTCTTTGTTTTTGATTATTAAATGCTGTACAAAATTCATAGATCTTTTCCTTTCTTTCCTGTGGCAGCTTAATTTGATATGTCTGACTTTTCTTTTTTTTTCTTCTTTCTTTCTTTTTCATTTTCTTTTTTTTTTTTTAGCATGATCTCTCATTTTATATTGTTTCATAATACTCTTTCCTCATTATCTTTAACATATCAAGGCAACTGATGATGTTAGAATAATTTTAAAAGCTGATCTTTCCAATTTTTAGTAACTTTTTTTTTTAAAGATCAGATTCTTTGAGACTTCCTCTTAGCAAGCCTAAAGCTCAGACATAGGTGGACATAACCACTCTTGGATTTCAGGTTTTGGAACGGTCTTGTGTGGTAGTTGACGGTGTGAATGTCTCCCTACGATTATGGGACACATTTGGGGACCATGACAAAGACCGGCGTTTTGCCTACGGCAGGTTAGTGCTGCTTTGTCTGGGAGTTATGATCATGTGAAGCTTTGAACAATGCAATTTTATGAATTGGATTTTGTTATTATTATTATTAGTGTTGTTTTTTTTATTGTTTAACATTATTGATATTGTTATTCGTATTAGTGTTGTTATATTCATCATCATTATTGGTGTGAGATTATTAATCCACTTATCCTCAGATGAATATGATAACATTCATTATTCTAGTTTTTAAAAGCAATTTACGACTTTAGTTAAGAATGAAGTATTGCTGATGTTCACCTTTGCACGTTCCATTTTTATGAATCCAAATATCTACTTTTCTATCCACATGTATGATTAATGATACTAAGACCCACCCTAACACTCTCCAGGTCAGATGTGGTGCTGCTATGTTTCTCCGTGGCAAATCCAGTGTCTCTGCGAAACTGCCGGGTGATGTGGTACCCAGAGATCCGGCGTTTCTGCCCCAACACTCCAATCCTCCTCGTGGGTTGCAAGAATGACCTTAGATATATTTGTAAAGATGAGCAGTACTTGAGTTATTGTCGAGACAGGTCTCCTCTCGTCAGGTACGTTGCTGTTGGTGCTTGGATGCTTTTAGATGTTTTTATGGATATTTGATAGGACTTTAAGCTTTGGAACTTTTTATATATATATATATATATATATATATATATATATATATATTATATATTATATATATATATATATATATATATATATATATATATATATTCTCAGTATATGTTCCATATGTATTTGAATTAGCATATATTGATAACT